GACTGAGGTGACCCAGGGCCAGGGAGCCTAGTGGAAGCATTCTGAGCTTCCAGCTGCTGCACGGTGACATGGTGGAGCCAGAGTGGCCCTGGAAGTATCTAGGGGTGTCTGCAGTAGAAGGAGTTTAAGGGTGATGTGTTACAGTGCCGGAGAGAGGAAGCCACCTGCCTGGGGTCCTATGGCAGGTCGTACAGAGCCGGAACTCCCACTCAGGTCTCCTTGCCTCCTAATCCAGTGCCATTTCCAGAGGAATGGAGGACAGAGACCAGGGTCCCCGTGATGTCAAGAGTGCAGGTTTACTAGGCCATAGAGAGGGGGGCTTCTGTGGGGGCCAGGAAGTGGGACTAGGCCAATGGCAGTGATGCATGCATTTCCTGGAGGGGGTAGGGCTGGGCAGGATGGTAGCTCCTGATGATTCTTAGCTGAATGGGACTTTGTAGATCTCATCTGGTCTGGTCTCGATTTATAGGTGAAGTTGCAGGGCCTGGAGAGGAAAGTGGGATGCTTGATACCTTTGAGATAGATGCGGGTGGTCACCAACCCAGATCTCCCCGCACCTGTAGCTGGGCTTGTTCTGAAACCCCACAGCACCGTTGCTCAAGATCCCCAGCCACCCCGGTCCCCCGTGGCCAGAAACAGCCTGAAGCCAGTGCGCAGGGCCCCAAGATTCGGTGACTTCTCTGTGACTGAGCTCTGAAGCTGAGCTCGGGGGAGACAGCCAGGCCCTCCCTGCATGTGTTCAGGGGGCTCTCTCCTGGAGCAGATGACTCTCTCCTTGGGATCCACCAACACTGAGACAGCTGCTTTGTTTCAGGCAGCATGAGAGCTTAAAAAGGGTGAGTAGGAAGTGGCCTCTGTCCTCCCAAACTCCAGAGATTCACAAAGGAGAGACAGGTGCTGACGTTGCTAACTCCGTCAAGGTGTACTGGGATGGCCTGTGACAGAGGTGGAGACAGCATGTGTTGGAAGTTCCGAGGCCTGGCACGTAGTAGGTGCTCAGAAAATGGTAATGTACAGGAAGCAGTGATACGTGGTAGCAGCTGTCAGCTGGCTTAGACATCAAGTCCAGACCACATGGGGCACGCATGTGTATGTGTGTACGTGTATGTGTGTGTGCATGTAAATAATCAGGGCAGCTCATGCTTACTGAGTACTTACTGTATGCCAGGCACTGGCCTTAGCATTTTACCTGTATTTCATTAAATCTTTGCAACAACCCATGAGTTAGGTACTATTATTGTCCCCATTTTACAGATGAAGAAACTGAGGCACGAGAGGTTAATTTACTTATTGTCCTGTCATTGTCATCAACACATACGGAATTTAGACTCAGGTCATGACATTGTCTCCCACCCTGGCTTCCCCCGCAGGGCTGGAGATGGGGCCACCCTCCAGCATACCATCCCCGACCAGGGTTTATCTGCAGATCCCTACAGCCCTCCCCATGTATCCATGTGTCTAGGGCCTCAGTGAAGGAGAGAGGGAGACAGCTAGTGTGCGGAGGCCCCCACCTCGAGTCTGAGGACACCCTACTAAATAACAATAGCAAGACTCACACAGTACTTACTAGACCCCAGGCACCGCTCCGGGTGCTTTGTCAACTCCTATAATCCTCACACACAGCCTGAGGCCTGTCCTGTCACTGTCCCCCAATGAACAGATGGGGACTGACATGGAGATGGTGTGAACTTGCCTGAGGTCTAGAGCTACTAAGTGGCATCTCTGGGTCTAGACCCGGCTTTCTGGTATAGACTTTGCTGTGCTGCTTCCCACTAAAGATACCTCCAGCATCCGGATGTTGGCAGCAGCACTGGGGCAGGAGGGTAGGTGGTGGGAAGCTGAGAGAGCAGAGGTTCAAATTTCTCAGTGGGGCCGGGAGAAGGGAGGTGGCTGGCACTCAGTCACACTGCGGGCATGTCCCCAACAGCCGTTGGGGGACAGCAGTGGGAAGAGGGGCTCAACAAAATGCCCCTGTTGAGAGTTACAGGAGCCAGAGAAAAGGGAGGCCAGGGTGGCAGAACCCTAATTCAGCCCTTCCTGGGGGGGGTCGGCTGGCATGGGGGGCTGGGCTCAGAAAGAACTCAGGGGACCTGTACACCCCAGCCCTCTGCAGAGGGGCTGCCTGCTGCTGGGCTAGTGCAGGGTCTGGGGTAGGAGTCAGGAACCCCAGCCCCAGGGAGAAGCTTGGGTCTCCCCTCCATTCCTCCTCAGGAGACTTTCCTCACAGCACCTGCATCCTATCCCCTCCCCACCAGGTCCATAAGCACATGATGGCCCAGTTGCCAAATCTGGCCATCTGAGCCTCAGATATTTGCTATCAGTATTTCTTGCTTCAAACAACACTGTCTAAACACCACCTATGAAATATGAATGGATTGAGGTTTCGACAAGCAGAGAGCCCAGGCATAGTCCCAGGACGATGAGGAGGGGAGGGGCATGACAAGGTCTGGACGGACCACGGGGACAGCAACAACATCCCTGGAGCCAGGCCCAGGTTTTGTGGGATGGCTTGTCTCCGCACATCAGGTCACTGGGAGCCAGCTGGCTGGATACAGGGCTGAGCTGGGGGGACGTGCTCGACAGATTGTCCTAGGGGATCCCTGGGGTTTGGGGCAGAGTCCAAGGGAAAAGGTGGTGTGGAGCTTGCCTGGAGCACCCAAAGGCCCCACCCTTCCAGCTAGGGAGAGGGCGCAGGAGATAGGCCTGTGGATAGGTCCCTAGGGTGAGAAGGGCCAGGGAGAGGCGAGGGTTGGCAGGGTACTTCATCCTTCCTCCCTCCTCCCTTGAGCTGTTCTGAGCCCCCCTCAGCCCCCCTGCAGGGTGCCCAGTGTGTTGAAGCAGCTCCTCTGGCTTCTTCCCTTAGCTCTCACCCTCCTGGGGGTCACCCACTCGCTGTCCTTCTGGGCTGGCTCCCCTAGCCGTCGGGGCTGGGAAGCCTTCCAGGTGGGTGAGAGCTGAAGGTCTGTGGTCTCGGGCACCTCTTCCCTCCCTTTACCTTCAGGAGGCTCATCCCCAAGCTCCTTCCCTCCTGGCCAGGAGACCACACTCTGTCCACGAGGTCACAAACACTTGGGCCTCTGTTTCTCCGTGCATAAGATGAAGGGGTCGGACATGATTCTCTCTGTGGTCTCTTCCAGCCCTGATAGTTGGCAGCTTCATTGTTCACTGTCTGCTTTCACTGCCCCCCAGCAGAGCCCCCGGGGATCAAGGTGTCGCTTTGTGCCGTGAGAAAGCAGCGGAGGTGTCTTGAGCCAATCTGAAAAGCTGATGGGAGGGACCCAGCAGTAGACCATGCAGGGACCTCAGCCCATGGGGATGCAGATGGGGGAAAGAAGCAGCTGAGGCCAGAGCTTGGAGCTGGCTGGGCTGAGGTGCTGGCCTCTGATGGGGAGCCTGGGGATGGACATCTCGTGTCCGGTGTGTTCTGGGCACACTGACCTGTTTGAGTTTGTTTAGAACGTCCAGCAGAGCAGGAAGAGCCCGGGAAGCAGGCGTGGTCAGACGAGGTCTTGCCAGCAGCTGAGTGAGCAGCTCACTGTGGTTCTCAGTAGAGCTGGTCACCGGAGCCAGGAGCCAACCCAGTTCCCCAGCGAGAACTGGGTTAGATGGTGGGCCCCCTGCCACTCCCCAAAGCTCCAGGGCGGTGGAAAACTTCACAGACCAGAACCTTCCCTGAGAGCCACCTGTCCAAATGCGAAGCACACGGGTGCCGGGGCCCTCCCCTGATATACCACAGCGAGGCCTGGAGAGGGCAGGCTGACTGTGGACCACTGACCAGTGGGGCATCTGAAGTGGCTCTTCTGGGTGCCTTTGCACGGGGGCTTGGGCAAAGCCAAGGCAATGGCTTCAGTGTCAGCATCACACCAACCATAAAATGGACTTTGTTGTCTAACCTGACAGTGGCCTCTAGATGGGCGTTCAGACCAGGCAGTGGACATAGGAGTGGAGTGGGTGTTTGGAAGTCAGTGGTTGTCCATCAGGACTCAGGACTAGGGGCCGCCTGTTCTCCCCCACCCAGGCCAGTTCCAGGTGGAGAGAAGGTCTCTCATTGCTTGTCTGAAACCCCTTCATCTAGATCCTGTCTAAGAAATTGACAGGGTCGATGGTAGCTGCTGATTTCCTGAGCTTACAAAATTGGCCTGGGTGGCAAAATGGGGGTTTTCTCTAATCCTTCACTGATGGATTAGATGGTGGGGCAGATCTCTCAGGAGTAGAGGACGACCTTGAGAACGTGTAGATGTCAAAGGAAGAGAGAAATAATCCCCCTCAAACTGCTGCCAGTAAGCCTTCTCGGAGCTGGAGGAAGTAGATGGAAACTTTGCCACTGCTGCCTCCCGGCTCAGGAGGCTATAGCATTGACTGCGTGATAAGAAATTGCCAGGCACTTTCTAATTACAATTATCATCATCATAGATGTCTCTCTTAATTACTTTCTTATAATTAGCTGTTGCTTTTTCCTCAGCATTTGTGTACTTTGCAGATTTGCTGACATTTGAGAGCCCCAAAATAGAGGGGCATTTGGGGAGAAGAACAGAAAGGTGGGGGAAACGGGAGAGGAACCTGTTCTTTGCAGGCAACCTGATAAATTTCGGGGCCTTTGTAGAAAGAAACCAGGAAAAGCAAAGGATGGACATGACAGGTCACTTCCTGAGCTCATGGGAAAGAGAGCAGGAGTGTGGATTTAGGGCCAGTTTGTGGAGGGTCTCCAAGTGTTAAACCTTGGAGAGAATGTTCTTGAAAAGCTAAGGCTGCCCTTTCTCGGGCTTGGGTTTCCTTTTAGGAAATGAGGCTGGGATGAAGCACACTCTGGTTGGATTCATTTCAGAGTTAATTAAATGACGCGGGTCAGGAGTAGCTTGATTTTCCCCAAAGCCAGTGATGCATTCTGAGCAGCCCTGTGCCCCAGGGGATCATTACAAAGTGGTTTATGCTCTTTGACCAGATGGTTGGTTTTCACTGTCTGTTCCTGTGCTTCCTCCCTCTCTCCCGGCCCCCTGCAGCCCTGTGTACGGAGGAGTGTGTGCATGGCCGCTGCGTTTCCCCGGACACCTGCCACTGTGAGCCCGGCTGGGGAGGGCCTGACTGTTCCAGCGGTGAGTCTGGGGTCTTTGGGGGCCAGGAGGTCCCTTGGCTGTGGCTTGGGGGAGGCGTGCCATGTACATTCTGAATTCTTTGTGTTGGCCTGGGGCAGCCCAGGTGAGTGTGGACATCAGGGAGGAGGCATCCCTGCATTTACATGGTGATACTTGGGGTGGAAGCCTCCAGGGGCATGGGGAGTCATGGTTTGTGGGGGTCTGGAGGAGCATTGTGCATTGCATTTGTTGGGAACTGTGGAGTATTTGTACAACTCCGACTTGATGAAACACTTCTAGATGTGGTCTTTTAAGGGTCAAAGTGAAATTGAGATGCTCTTGGGACCGACGGACGGGGCCAGAGACTGCTACCACCCATAGCACCATGGGGCATCGCATCTGCCGTGGGGCTGGCCACTGAGAGGGTGGGGTGCGCCTAGCAGCTGCTCAGGGAGTTCTCTGCCAAGAACCCAGATGAAAACAACTCCTGCTCTTCTGACTCATTTCCCCTAAATGCTCACAGATGAACCTCTTTCCATTGGCACATTTTGCAGTCAATGGTTGGTCAACAGTATGGTCTTATGGGATTTTCAATTAGGCTTTGATTAGTGTTGAAACCCAGTTTTCTTCCTGCTTTGAGCTGGGGTAGAGTGTCTTTTTTATTGTGACTTGAGTAGATAACATATCTAAGCTGATCCATTGGGGTCTAACCCCCAGCATTTACCCATCTTTGGGAGCCACCTCTCTGTTTCCAGTCCCAGTGTAACTGTAATGGTTATGAAAAGTTGAAGAAGGGAATGGTGGGTCCATGGTGGTCTAGTGTGGTGCTCTTGCCCTTTTCCGCTATCTCTGCTGGGGTGGAAACATCTAGTTACGGTCCTTTTTCCCAAGGGCCTTGACGGGAGCTTCCCTGTCTACCCAGTGCATGAGAACATACCCCCCAGCAAGGCTATTGGATGTGGTTTTGTTTTGAGCCTGGGAGGTTATCTTGGCTTGGGGAGTCTGGGATCTGTTTTGGGGGACTCAGGAAACTCTTCAATGCACTGGGGCCTCAGTGGCCTCTGCCTCCCACCTGTTTCACTGCTTTGAGGTGGGCCACGCTGAGCAACGAGGCCAGGGATTCCTCCAGACATTGAAAAGTAAACTCGAGGGAGGTAAGGGAATGTGTTGCACCAGTCTTTCTGTGGACTGCAGGAAACATGTGGGCTAGAATGTTCAAGAGCTTGTCCTCCCCCACCTCCCATCCATGTTTTGTGTTGTGTAACTTTGCTCACCACGAATGCTTGACGGAGAACTGACTTGGATTAGGGGAGCCTTGCAGGGACAGGTCTGCTTGCTTCGTGCTGGATTATAATGTCAAGGGCAGCCTGTTGGAGGTGAGAAATACTGCCTGAGTCTCAGGGGCCCTGAGTGCATATAAACCACCGATCAGTGCAAGTGCATGTGGCGCTTGCTCTATGCTAGACTGTGCCAGGCCTGGGGTGGGCCCTGGAGGGTCTTTTTGACATGGTCTGTGTCTTTCAGGGTTTCCCTTCTGTGAAAGAAATGGAATGAAGGTGGCACTCGATTGAGCAGGACTGGGCAGTTTAGCGTAAATCTTGCCCCTAGAGTGAGTTTACCAAACAGACAGGGAAATGGCCTTGATAGCTGCCAGTATAACACGGGACTGCCTAATTTCCCCCACCCCTGATTCAGCCATCAGACTCAGTGGTGAGCTGTTTCCTGAATTAAATCCATTTTCGTGGGCTGAAGAGCCACCATCCCTAGGTCGACTCAAAGGCATGTACTACTGAACCCATAGGAAGTCCCAAAAGATGGGTTCCAACCCTCTGCCGGAACCAGCCTTGAATGAAAGGAATTTATCATAGACTCTCCCGTTCAAAATCATTCAGAGCACCGAAAGCTTAGATGTCATCAAGAGCCTTCCCATTTCTGCGTGAGTCCCTCCATTCACAAGGAGCTCATTGCCTCTTGTGAAAGTATGTCCTGACTGTTGGAAAGCTTCTCCTTCTATTAAGTGGAAATCTGTCTCAAGGATTCACCAGTTAGTTCTCACTCATGATAAAGTCCAGAGCAGGTTGATGGATCTCCATGACTCTCCTCACCATGTCTGGAATTTCTCCCAAGGAGATCAGTGGACAAGGCCATGGACAGCGTACGGGAAGATGTTCATCAAAGAGTAGTTGATAATAACCACTGGGGCTGCACAGAAGAAACCAGGGTCCCCTTCCACGGCTCAGCCCTTTGAGTGTTAGAAGACAGCGATCACTTCCTTCCCCAAGTTTTTATTCTCTAAGCTCCTTTGTTTCTTGCCTGATGTGGTCTGATCTGCCTTCCCCATCTGGTTCCTCCCCGTTGGCTGTGGCCTTTAGTCCTCTTAAACTATCATTCCTAGGTCTGACCACACAACTGTAGGCTGGTATGGAAAAATAATGATAGAAGTAGATACTGTTTATTGAATTTTATGATGCACTAGGCACTCCAGTTACCTTCTCACTTAATCTCCACAACAACCCTGTGGAATAGGAATTATTAGCCCCATTTACAGATGAGAACAAACTTTGCACAGACACACAAGCTAGGAAATGGTGAAACTGGGACTGTCCACCAAGCAGACACCTGAGTCCCAAACCTAACCTCTTAATGATCACGTTCTTCCTCTAGATGCTCAACCTCTATTCATACAGCCTAAGGTTAAAATAGGTCTTTGATGAGAAGACTCTGTTGCTCACAGGAGAAAGAAGAATCCGCTTGGAATACGTGGTCCCGAGATCCTATTCTGGAGGTAGATGAATCAGCCACAGGACACAAACTGTGACCAGGGGTAGTCCAAGCAATTTGAGCCTTGCTTGCTAGTGTGCCGCTGGATGCTGTCTGCTTGAGTGTGCCTTAGGGTCTTTGGGGCCCGTGCCCATGGGGATGGGTGTCCTGGTCCATGCAGTGTGTACCTCTGGAGATTTCTGAATGTGAGCTGCCCAGGTACATGTCTATACATATGATCCCCTTGCTTCCCTGCATCATTTTTGTTGTTGTTTTTCTGTTTTTCTGATTCTAAAATCACACCTGTTCATGTTAAAAAGAAACTCCAAACTACACCAGAATCCTACAAAAAGGTTAGAAACACACACACACACACACACAGACATATTTGGGTGGTTGCCCTCCCTGTCATTTCTCTACATATTTGCACTGAGAGCTACGTCTTTTATGAGAGATACAACTTTTATGAATTAGATCATGTCTATGTGCTGTTCTGTAACTTGCTTTTTAAGTTTATGTCATGCACTGATATCTTTGTCAATAAACATGAATCTCCCTTTAAATTTTTTAAGACCTTTATAGAGTTTTCTTCTGTGGATTACCAGAGGTATTTGACCGGTCTCTTGTTGATGGCCTTTTAAGTTGTTTTGGGGGTTTTCACTATTGTAAGGCCCCACCATCCTGTATTCAGGGTGCTTGGGGCTTGTTGATTTCAGAATTTCAGTTTTTTTCAGAGTTTAGAAATGTGTGTGGTGACTATTATGTATATGACCTATACCCCCAGAGGGGTCTGGGCAGCACCCTGGGATGAGACATAGTAATATTTCTGAATAGGACTAATTCCATCTAGTGACATCAAGGCAATGCATAACCATGAATCAGTTCCATGAAGAGCTGGCCTCTAAATGAATTTCGGTGCTGAACTTTAAAGCAATTTTTCTTTTGGGCTTTTTAGGGATTTTTGGATTGTGGGCAAGGGACTGTGGCCCTGTGTAAAAAAAAAAAAAAAAAATGCTACAGTGATTCTTCTCGTGCATGTATCTTTGCCCATTTGTCCCGATTTCTTCCTAAGGTACATTCCTGGAAGAAGCAAGGAGGGTTATAAAGATCCATCATTCCTACCGCCTGCCCTGCTTTGCCCTTCGTGGCTGCCAAGGGATTTATGACTTTGACAGCTGTGAAGGGGACAGATCTAGTCCTGGGGTGGGGTGGGAGAATTTTCATTCTTTTCCAGACTGACAACCCCATAGCTTAATTTCTTTAAGGCCTGGACTAAATTCTTTCCGCTCCATAAAGAGAGGTGATGCTGATTTGCCTGGCAAACAGGCACATGAGCTATTGTGGATAATTCCGAGGTGTTGGAAGGACTGATACAGGGAAGTGCAGTGCCTGCAGGCTTGGTCGTAAACCTCCATCCCATATCATAACGAGGAGGAGAAGGATGAAATGTCAGTTTACACCGAATAAAGACGACAGAGTGGCTGTTATTAAATTGCACTAATCTCACAAGTGGAGATAAAAAGAAAAAAAGTTTTCCTATATTGAATATCTAGCTTTTTAAAGTAATTAGGAATATTAAAGCACTGACAGTGATTGAGATAGAAACATTATTCATAACTTTTATTTCCACACTGGGCACTGATCCAATATATTCCCATTTATGAGGTTTCAGCTGTAAGGAGAAGGATGTGAGCCAATTCCTAAATTAAATATGCCCTGTTAACGTTTACAAGTGATACCCAAGAATCAACTTGGAAATTTAAGCCTTCATTGTACTATATAATTGTGTTTCCTGGGTCCTGCTTCGCGGCCTCCCATCCCGTGGTGCTTTGTGGTTTGGGTTTGGGGCTCTAGCGTGATGCTTTGGGCTGGGGTAGACGTGAGAGAGAAGCCCTCCCCTCCACCTCCCCACCTTTCCCCGCCCCCCATTCTTAGATTCCATTGAATGTGTTTCATCCATGTGCACAGACCAAGTGCAGGACAGTAAGCGCTCCCTCACTACTCCGTGTCTCACTTCTGACGCCGCCGCCACCCCGTGCTGGCACGAGGCAGGACCGCAGTCCCCGAGTAATGAAGGCAGCGGGATCCGCGTTGGGCCACCACCAAGAGTAGCTCCTGCCAAATCAAATGTGTTCTTACCTTGAATGGTGTGTGAGACCCCTGGCTGACTTGGCTTGCAGTTATCCTTGTGGATTAAAATAAAACATTTACCAGCTCAGAAATTGCCCATACTCCCAAACTAGCCTGGGATGCTTTAGGTC